CAATATTTAATGTTATGTTTATTGTAATGTAAGGGTTACTATGTTCTCATTCCACTGTAAGAACTTTACCATCTACATCTCTCAATTTCCTAACATTGCTAACTAGCAATTAATTCTTTCTGTAGTTTTAGACAATTATGACTTAGTGCACAAGTTGTATAGTGTATAGACAAATATATTGAAAATTTGGTGTAACCAACTTTTCTTATTATTGTGAGCTGTAAGATGAACACAAAATATACCCGCTATAGTGACAACCTGTAGAAGATCACCGCAAACACAAATTTATGTTACCATACTGGGTATACATGTATTATTATTTGTTGATGTGTTCATAATGCAACAGTTAATGTTCATAAAGGCCAAGAGGATGCTTTGGTAAAAATATTTTAATGACTAGTACAGAACAGTGTAATGGATGGCTAAGAACTCATTACAATATACTGTATATAGTCCAGGAGCTGGACTGGGTAAAATGTGGTTGTGTTCAACCTGGACTACAGAATAAGCCATGTTGGAAAAAGGTGATTACCCTGCTACCACAAATTAGCTCCACTGACACCTGTTTGAGGTTCAGGAAGCTCTAATCTACCAAAATATACCATCAAGCCTTTTCTGTAGTTCCTTATTTGAACAGCTACAGAAAATAGCTCCTTGACTATTAGAAACATTTCCTCATTTTAGCTGTATTTTAGAGTATGAAATAAATGGTAATACAGTATGTAACACTCGTAATCCTCAGACCTTGGCACAAGTACTCTGCTGTACTTGCCTCACATTCTTAAAGATTTGCACCTAAAATATTTCTCCCAATTGACACTGAGAGAATGCATTTTAATGGAATGTTACCTCGGCACTTACTGAACTGTTATATTCGTGCCAATTTTTATGTGAATTTGTTGTGCACATTGTCACATCTTTAGTTTGGGGAAATATTTAATGTAAGAATCTCTGAGAATTAAAAACCATTTAGTTATTTACAGAAATTTGTGCAGAACTAAATCTTTATGAGTAACCTCAACTTATTACTTTTCTCTTCTATAGTACCAGTCAACTTGGTAGTTAATTAAAATTATATACAGTATATCGGTATGTAATTTTATAAGCTGAATATATAGAATTAAATTAAAAAAGTACAGTACAGTATAGTTAAAGTATATAGGATAGTATTTAGGGCTTCAATATGCTTTTTATATGTAGTGTTCCATCACGAATATTGAAGCTTCTTTGTTTGACTTCCTGAATACATGTACAGTATATAATTGCATATATTAGTATAACACTTGTACAGTTAATAGGTACAGTTTTTAAGCTGTCTTGTAGTACATACCATTCACAAACTTAGCTCAGTTCGTACAGTACAGTATTTCTTAACCCTCTAGGGAGCAGGGATTTCTCTCAGCAGAATAAAGTCATCTGGCATTAGCCAGAGTGAAATACCCAAGTGCAACATCACCTCCTGAAGGGTTATGAGTCATGGCAGATGAAGACATTACTGCACTTCTGATACCCTGCGATCACTAATAATCAAAGGTAAATTGTTCAAAATTTCTTCTAAAGCTTTTACTGATGTACAAGAAGTTCTCTTAAGATTCCTTGTGGTATCTTGGTGCATTTCTTTGATACATAAAAAATAAAAATTTCAAGTGTAAAATTGTTTTAAACAATTCAGGTATACAGTTCTTTACTGTAATATTGATATAGTAATCTATGGAAAATTGTGGATTAGTACTGTATTATATAAACAAGTTGATTTTTTTTAATTTAATGTCAATCATTTTAATGCTGTACTATGCCCCCCACCCTTGGTAATCACTAACTTTCAGTACTGGCCCCACATTTTCACTGCCAGAAAATCTCCTAACACAACTTTTCAGTGTGACTTTCAATCATGTGATCTTTATGGTAATTATTTACCACTCTGGCTTCATAGTATCTTCTCATACATATGTTGATTTGTTTCACATACTTCAATCGGTTCTTTACGACCCACTGAAGAATTCTTAACTTTTTGGGGGTCAACATTATCAGCCTTACAAGACAATACTGTTGTGGATAAAGCAGCAGTTAATGTAAGGACAGTTGCACTATTCTCAATGTTTTTCACTTTTCCAAATTATGTTTTTGAAATACATATTAGAAGAAAATATGTACTGTACATAGCCTTATTGGTTAAAGTGAACCTTGACCAAGAAGTCCATTGATAATGAGGTGTGAGGTATGGCTGTTTAATACATTTCTATATACTGTTCAGGGTTCCAAAAGTCCATATTCATACATGGACAGAATTCACTATTTACCTGTTTCAGCAAACGTACAAGTTACGTGCAGATATAAATTCTTATACATAATCCCCTCTAAATGTTTTTCAGTCTCTGTGCTTATTTTAACACATTCTGAAATGTGCTGTATTCTTCAAGTCATGTAGATGTATTAACATCGGAGACACCCTGTACTGTACAGTGAGTTCTGCTATAACGCGTGTTTTGATAACGCGATTTATGAATTAGGAACGATATTTGTATAACGCGAACGCTTGTTTGCTATAACGCGATTTTTGCTTACTATTTCTCCAATTTTGTGGTATTAATTGTGAATATGGTAAAGAAGAATATCTCCAAGAAGCGTTCTGGTGATAGAATTCCCGGTGATGATCGTAAAAGAAAGGATATAACACTTGAAGAGAAGCTCGATGTTATCAACCTCAAAATCACCCTTCTCCCCCATCAAGTTACATTCATATTTTTCAAGGTAAAGTGTTACATTTACTGTATGATTTCATTATTAGATATGAATGTAACATTTATTTAGACTGTGCTATCCTTTGTGTTAGGCTAACTACTAAATTTTTTCGATTTCGAGTAATCTGCACCTAACCCTATTTTCTCCATAAGCCCTGTTATTTCTATTACGCGATTTTCTATAACACGATATTTTACAAGAACACAATTATCGCGTTATAGCAGAACTACCTGTACACAATAACTTCTCTGTTGGTACCTCACTGTAGGTATTATACAATCTTTGCAGTCCTTGGCACTTGTACCTGCCATCAATCATTTATGCCTCCTTTATTAAACTTATATAGTTTTTCACCTCCAGAAAGTCATAGTTATTAAGTGTAGGAAAGTTTTTCCTAAGGAAAAGGGTGAAAGTCCCAGTAGTTTATTCTGAAGTCTTATGCTGTTATTAGTTTCAAATACTTAATTTTCATTAAATATACTGTAATGTTTATTATACAATAAATTCACTGGTAGAATCACCTAAAAACTTTGGTTACTTTCGTTCTCACTCATAAGCTTGAGCATCACTTGTCCTATCTTTGGCTGACTACCATATACAATTATTGACTGGGAATGTTGTACCGACATTGAAATGTGAAACCTTTGTTTGAACGTGTGTAGCGCTGCCAACCAATGACTATAAACTACATTTTCTTGTTGAACTTTATATATATAATTTTACTGTAGCTTTTGAAATGTTAATCCATTAACATTGGGAACTTCATGCTCTTAATGATCACTGCAATTAAGGTGAGAATTAATCTTGTGGTTTACATGCAACAAGTTTGTTTATTTACAATGAATTCCACTTTTTAGTTGCACAATTGTTCACTGCATGAATACTGTACAATTCATAGAAAAAAAATTGCACTGTGGACTTGTCTTTCTCTGTAGAACTAGCATAGTGAAAACCTTCATTACACTAACCAGGCCAATGGGATCCACTTAATATGTCAGTGCTGCTCAAAATTTTTCAATATTCACATTTGCCTCTTAGGTAATATATTTCTAAAAATTGTTGAAGTTGTTACAGAAAAGTTTACTAATAATTTTGTTCGTAGTATTTATTAAATCCAATTATTTATAATATTGTAGATGTAATGTCAACAGTACCTTACTTTAATCACTGTAAAAGGCTGTGTTATAAAGTAATTGACACATTTTCTAGATTTACTCTGATCAAAACCCAAGATTCTTACATTTTCATCCAATCAGCAAACTGTCTGGCCAGTGTGTGTTCCATGTCCTTGAATTTTTGGGTAGACCTTAAAAACTGTATTGTGAGAAATACTAATACTGTAGTGTCTTAGTTTAAAATGCTGATGTATTCAATTGAGAAAACTCAAGTGCGTCATGAAGTGGACTTGTTACTATTAACTATATAATAGGCTAACCATTTTTTGAGGCTGTTTCTGGTATTATTCTAGTAGCCTGTACTGTAGTGTAATCTTGTTCGTTGCCCAAATAATAAACAATACAATGCAGCTAGTTTTTTATTATGTTCGTGTCTTCACAAAGGAATAAAATATCTGTACATCAAGGTATTCTATGGTAAGTCAAATAAATACATAGCTAACTCAGATGCATATCTTGATTTAGTTTTAATTAAATGGGCATTTTTGGAATAAATGTTTACATCTTTAAACAATACTAACCAACATGGTGACACTAGTTATTTTGCCTAGATTTAAAACTTTCACTAGAGAAGTTAACAAATGTACGTCACAATAGAAAACTTAGGCAATTGCACATAGGTTTTCAGGTCTCTCCTTCAGTTTGGTACACACCTTGCTGAACCTTTGGGGATGTGAGCATGTGATAGTTCTCTTATTTTTTGTGGATGTTTATTGTGTCTTGGTTTTATCAGTTTCCAGTAGAATCAAGTCATACTTATCATACAAGGAAGATTCATAAACATTACTGAAAACACTCGCACAAATCCACATTCACACATACACTGTACAAGTAAATGGTTAGTCTCATATATATATACAGTACTGTACATACATATGGAATGGGAAGTGTGCATGTATGTGTAGATATGAACTTCCAAAAGGAACGACTTCATCCTCCTCCTAACCCATTATTACAATTTACTGATGTGGATATAGAACAGTACATACAGTAACAGCCTCAGTCTTGTTCTAACTCAAAGTTTAAATTTACTTACATTATGTACACTTATACTTCACTTAAATATAATAAATAAAAAGGCCATTACATAAAATATTTTATTTGTTCTGGTAGCGAGGTCATCTTCCAGAGAAACAATTAAGGTCTAACATACACAAGTAACTTAATTACGCAGCAATTGTCGACTCAATCATTACATTATCTATAAAAAACTTGGCTAGGACTGTACAATGATACTGCACTTATGGTTCAAAAATTCATTATTGAACATCATATTTTATATTCAGAAATGTTGGGTAACTGTACAATTCAAATAAAACTCGACCACAATGTGTGCGGCTGCATATTCCTGTACATGATGTGGCACAATACAAATCTAAGCAGTCATCTCTGGAATAAAAGAATATTTTACATTTAGATTATGATGGGTTTACCGGTAATTAACTAATGTGATGTAAAAAAAATACACCACTTCACACAATCAATAACCAGAAAGAGTGCAGAATCAGACAATGATGAAGTATAGAGCAAGTAATTGTATAAAGGAACTTGTAGAGAAAATTATCTGGCAAAGAGGAGAATCACCTGAACATTAACGAAGAGGATAAATTAAATACTCACGGGAGAGTTGAGCTTTACACTGTCGTAACGCCTCATTAAAACCTTCACATACAGATACATCAGACTGTGTCTGAGCACATTGCAGGAACTGCTTGATCTCCCATGCACACGGTCCTTGTGGTTCACTGGGACCACTCTGCCAAATATGAAGAACAATAAATAGAAATACAGTACAGTATAATGAAAATACAGGATACTGTCCATTAATTAATGTTCATTTGCTTAAAGTTCATGTGTTTACTGATCTACTTTGTCTAATTTTAATATTTTAACAACCCCACTATGTAATACAGTGGGAGATCACATTAAGTTACCTATCTATATTTCAAAGAATTTGTTTCAGTTCAGTAACTTGAAAAAGGCTTTACAGACCAAAATTAAATTCGGTACAGTATGTACAGTTATCTTCAAACAACGAATATCCTCCTTGCTGAAAGGAACCTGCCAGGGTGATTGCCTTAACTAATGCTGAACAAAAATCTAATTCCAGAGAAATGCCAAGAGCAACTTCAGGGCTTGTACGTGGTTAATGGAGACACGAGTGTGTGTAGTGGTGCTACATTTAAATCTCACCTGTTGAGGATACCCTTGGTATTGTGGGTAGCCCTGTGGCTGTGAGTAGGCCTGGGGCTGTGCTGGGGCAGCCTGCTGTGGCTGGTCAGAATTGCTGCTGCTGCTGCCACCACCACTTGTTAATGCATGACCAACCACATGACCCTGGAGAAAATTATATTTATTACTATATCAATTTGACAAGAGTTTTGTGCAAGTTAAAGGTGATTACTTGTCTTGGTAAATAGTTTTTACACTAGTCTTCAGTATATATTTCTTACACCAAGATTTGCTAACCATACTATAGGAATAATACAACTACACTACCTGTACAAGATAACAGGGAAAGTTAGTAAAACTTACCACAGCTGATCCAACAGCAACACCACCTGCAGTAGCAGCCATCTGTGCAAACAGACCAGGTTGTTTAGGAGCAGCAGCTGCAGGCGGTGGCGGAGCAGCTGCATGTGGTGGCGGAGCAGCTGCAGGTGGTGGTGGAGCAGCTGCATGTGGTGGTGGGGCTGCTCTGGGGGGTGGAGGAGGAGGAGCGGCACGCCTGCTGTTATAAGAATATCTCCCATCAGTCTACATATACCGGTAACTATATACAGTACTGTATAATCATCTACAAAATATTTTGTACAGTACTTTGAACTTTAGTAGCACCACAATCTTAAAAATAACATTTACAGTACATTATAGGTAACCCAGAAATAATTGGATAAAAGCTAAAAATTGGTACAAATGTAGAGTTATGTATCCAGAACAATATACATACTAAAAGTTACAGGACATGTTACGCTGGTGTGTACAACTTTCTACTTATTAAATACTGTAGAAACTATAAGGAATATACCAAAACATACGCATTCCCAAGTTAATGCAGCATGAACTAAAATCAATAAGAAAACTTATTAAACAGGATTTTTTAAGAACTGGTTGATTCAGTGAGGAAGTAAGCTTTGATAAAAGATGTTGGAAAAATAATTAACTCCTACCTAAAGGAGGAATTCTCACTCTCTTACCTTATGGTAACATTAGTGAGTAAGGAAGCACAAGTACAATAATTGTTAATTGCAGCATTAAGGTGGTAAAAGCAACAAAGGGTTGAGATGTTCCTGTGTGATGACTTACAACTGCCACCGGAGGCTTGGTCAAGTTCTTAAAACAGAAACAAAGGTCAGTGTAGTTGACTTGGATTTATGTTTCAATCTACAGTATTTGCATCATTAACTTGTCTTCAGATGCTATAGAAAAATGGGCATTGGCTGATGAATTGTGCAGGAGCCAAGCACGAGGTTGGTAGAACTGCAGTTTTTGTTTGGTTGGGCTTTAATTTGATTATTTTGTGCAATACTGTACTACAGTATAGGAACATCCAGTTCACTTATTAAGTAATGCTACTTGAAAGAAATAGGAAATGTATCAAAACCCAATAAAGAATTCAATTCCAACATGATTCTCATCATTTATACACACAATAGGTTCAAGAACCTATTTTACCAAAATAAAAAAATAAGGGATCGGGCATATGATACTCACGAACCCATAAAGAAAAAGATAAACCTATATTTAAAGGAATAAAACACAATAACAGGCTTCACCATATATTTACAAGTTAAGCGAGACCAAATTCAGAATTAAATTATTTTAAGGGCAGACGACAACATACGACGACTACGGTAGATTTTTCGGCAGAATATTTACGGTAAATAAATATTTTCTTTGCTTACAAAGCAGGTACAGACTTGATTTTAGTGTCATATGAAATTTTTATTCTTCATGTTTTTACCCTGAAATTTCCCTCCTCCTTCATGCCCTTGCCACTGCAGGTGATTTATGATCACATAAGAGAAGAATGAAAAAATACAGTACTGTATACAAAGTAATCGACAATGCCATTCTCCTCCAATCAACACCACTATTGACTGGCCCAGGCTTAATCAATCCATGGAATCAACATTTCATCATATTATTCTTAGCGATTTTATTGGTTAATATCATCCAAGGAACAACTCTGAAAAATCCACAAACTCTTGGTGCTAACTGTCTGCTCCACTACAGTTTTACCCCGCTTAACGCGCTTTCACTTAACGCGTTTTCGCATATACGCGGTGCCTTGCCAAAGCTGAACTTTCACTTAACGCGGGTTTTTTCCACATATACGCGGTGAGTGTCCGGCTCGGATGCTATTTTTAGATTTTGCCCACGCGCCACCCACCCGCCCGCCTGCCTGCCTCTCCCTCCTCCTCCCTCCGCTTGGGTAAGCGGCGCGGTAAGGTTGCGCAGTGTGTGTCTTTGTTGCGTTATCACTGACGTCATATGACGTCTCGGACTGTGATTGGCCATGCAGCCCTACCCCCCTCTGCTGCTAGCTGTAATTGGCTTAAAGTATTATGACGTGACTACCCCGGGGAGGGAGGGAGGGAGGAGAGACGACGCTTGACCTAGCCGCGGCAGTTTCATCCCTCCACAGCCAGCCCAAGCCAGTGATAGTGATAGTGAAGTTGATTTTGAGGGATTTGTCAGGGAAGCCATGACAACTGTAAGTGACAGTGATATTGATTCACCTAGTAATGGTGATTCACCTGAGGGGCAGTAATCTGCCCTCTGCCTCGGAACCAGCCTCCATCCCCGTATGCCGACCCATCTCTTCTACTACCGTGAGTGTTCCTCAAATTTTCGTTTTTTAACCTATTCTTTATTTTTCCTATGTTAACCTTTATCTTTCCTAACCTAACCTCTTCTATATTACTTGTTTTTCATGCCACCATAAAGTTAAGATAGAATTTTTACTACAACATAGTTATTTGTCGTCAAAAAGTGGAGTTTGGGGGTCGGGCTGGGTTCTATTGGAATTAATCCCATATGTTCTGTTATTCACTTAACGCGGTTTTCACTTAACGCGGGACCCTCTGGGTTCAATTGACCGCGTTAAGTGGGGTACAACTGTATTACCTTTCCTAATACTGTACTGTACATTATTGTGATGAATACACAGGCACTTGTAATAAATATAAAATGGATTAATTCCTCAGTATAAGTTAATGTCTTCAGTTCAATTATGTTCCTCACATCTCAAATATTATGACACCAACTTACTTCACCTGATGATTATACGCCCTAATGCTAAATGGAGGCTTAGTAGATTAATCTGGGTTAAGACCACACTGGAAACATGTCTTTTTGGCTCTTGTGTTCTTCCTGGAGTACTATTATAAGTGGAGTAACTGTTCTGTAATATGTGATGATCTTACCTATATTGTACTATATGTGGTGAATTCCCAAAATTCAATTAATCTATCTAAAGATTAGTGCTGGGGTGTTTAAATGTCAGATGAAAGAATATGGTTCCTAATATTCTAAATGTGGTTGTGACACCATAAATGTGTACACACTTGTCTTCCAGTACCATATGTGACTGTGTGGTCTTAGCCACGGCCACAGGAGGCACAGTACTGTGATGCCATCCACTGCACTGAGTGGTTAACTTGGCATCAGTGTCTGGCATTTTAGTGGTAGTGTAGCTCTTGGGTTAACAGCCAAGATGAAGTTTTGAATTATAAACAGACACTGCTGACCGACTTGACGACTTCATAAATAAAGAACAATATATCTCATTCATAACGAGACGTCTAAACATAAGAACATTCTGGTGGTGTCGCCAGAAAGTTCCTAATAATTATTTTACCAACATAATCAAAACCCTAAGGTAGACAAATCTCTAATAAGTCAAAAACATCATTTTACATAATTACCATATCTCTAAAAGATCAACATTGAGATTTATGAAGGACTTAATGATGATATAGGTAGTCATGGCACCCGTGTCTGATCACCATTACCATAGTGATACTTACGGCGGTGCACGAGGAGCTGCTGACCCCCGACGAGGCATCTTGGTGTCTTACTGTCACTCTCACACTAACACCTCACAAATATCCAATCCAAGCCCACTGCTGTGTTGATAAAGGAAGATTGCCCAGGTGAGTCGCCTTCTCCACCGGCACTGTGTACAACATGAACCAGATAATGAAACACAACGGCTACAGTATGTTATTCGTAATATAAATAAAATGAATAATATATAAATTAAATCATGTCTATTGTGTAAATAAAATTTAATTACTAATTTTTATATCCTAATTAGTACTTCATGATAAGCTTGTATAATTTCCTTTTGTCCGCCTCACATTTCATACTTTACAAAATATCTGGTACCCTGTTGTCTGTACCTGTCAATAATGCCTCATTTGTCCAATTCCAAGGTTCATTCCTGCCCTTATCTTCTTTAATGATGCAACGTTAGCTAGTATTTTGCAAGTTAATTTGTAATAATTATGTGTATTTTGTGTAGCTGCATGTACATGCACCTGCTGATTTGTATACCTGTATTTATTGTAATTTGTGTTTCTAAGCGTTTATAATTTGTTAATATTTTCTTAAAAATCTTCTTTTGGTACAAATAGTTCACACACACACTGACGTTGCTGTGCATTTCACCGCATAGCCAGACTGTATGCAACTTGCAAGTCGTGTGATAATAACATCTCGGAGACAGTCATTGGTGCTCCTTAATTCCCCTTGTTATCCTCTAAGCCAGTTCACTACTAATAACTATGATTCAGGGATATTCTCTGAGAAATATGTCAACAGACACAATGTATAGACGCAAGTGACAGAGACGTGACCGATCGCCCGGGCGGCTAGCGAGCCGATCAGTGGCGAAGAGGATAAAAGTAAATAAAAGAGTGAGAGAAAGACGGGCGTGTGTAGGAGCACAAAGTGCATGAATATGATTACAGGGTACAAAAAGAGAGAAAATCAATGTCGCCTGAAAAATAATTGAACGAGCTGTTTGTTGCAACACTAAACAGCCTCATATGATTGTTTTGATCAACTCACAACTTGGCCATTTACCATTTTCTCACACTGCCTATCTTCAATGATTATGACTGTGACAACAAAAACTTATGATATAGAAAAACCCAACTTCCCTCATAAATTATACATGAATCATGAAACTATGAACTATGAATACCCGTGACATACCTGTACACGCACGCGCGCGCACACACGTAAACTATGACTGTCATGATGGGCATTAATAGTCAGAGGCAACAGGGACAATGACAACAGGGCTAACAAAGGCACCACCACCCAGTAATACTTCGTGGAATATACCAGAAAAATAAATAATATTAAGTCTTTCGTATTGTTATGTTAGTGTCGTGTGACGTAGTCCTCAAGAGTTATTTAAGACTCAATTAAGAAACATTTTCAACGTCGAGCAATTTTCTGAACGGTATAGGACATAAAGTATATTAGTATATGGATCAGTCATGACGATATATTCTAGTATTTTATTTTATGATATATTTTACTGTAATACGTGTTCATAAAACATATATCATTAAAATTATTAGTTTATTACTCTATTATATAACTTGTAATTAATATTTGCTTGCTGTTACCTAGTGAGATTGTCCGCCAGTTCGCGTGTCCGATTTCTCGGTTGAAATTTTTATTTTTAGGCTTTTAATTTGTCATATCTAGTATAAACTAATATTTACAGATGTTATTTTAAAATATTTTGTCAGATTTTAGAGTTTTATAGAATAGATGGAGTATTGACCATTCAATTCACCCATTTATTGACCAGAAATATTTTGAGCAGAACTGATGGGATCCGGACAAATGTATCTGAACCCCGGTGTCCAGACAGACTCTCGCCTGTGGTTCCCTATATTACTGTGGACAATGGGCGTGGTGGGCGTAGTGGTGGGCGTGGTGGTTGGACTCTACATCATCAGGAAGTACCGGGAGAGAAAATGGGGACAGTGCAAAAGTAAACGTCGCATGGAAGGCAAAGTAAGTGTTGTTATTTTCTTGATCTTAAAGACTGTTGGCCGAGTGATCCAAGTCATGGCAGTTGAACTAATTTCTGATAAGTCATCCATAGAGAAGTTTACTTGGTTGAGTATAGTGGAAGTGGGACCCGTAAGCTTAATGGCTATTTAGGGGCAGTGTGGATAAGCACTGTACATTAAAGTCTTTGGTACACAGGCAGCGTGACCAACACTATGACCTGTCACTTATTTCCTAATTGTAAACTTTGTTAGGTGTTTGCAGCTTGGTGCATGGAGGTGAACCATGCACAAACCAGCAACCCCTAGGACAGGAGGTGATGCCCCCATCCTCTTGACCGCTATAACCCATTTGGGTAAAATTATAGTTTTGGTCATCCCTGTATTTAGAAATCCAAACTAATATAACCTATATCTAACCTAACCGGGGCCTGGCCCCCCAGACCCCCCTAAAATTCGCTGGATGATCGAAACGATAATAATACCCCCAATTATCATGACAAGGTGCAGACTGATTTTGGCCACATGTCATACATCTGGTACTCTGCCTCTCAGTGTCTAGCTTTTAACACATTTGAAATTTGCATCCTATAAGGCCAGCTTTCTCTCTATTTGACTTGTGCCTTTGCAAAGGTTTGGTGTTAGAAGGTGAAATGTTCAGGTGTGAAACTTTACAAATAAAGACGAGACTGTGTTTTTCACAATTGCCAAGCTTTATTACGTGATGATGAGTGGTACTTTAATTTCAACATAATTTATATTACATGTACAATGAAATATTGATTTATGCTCTATACTGTACAATAAAAATGCATGTGATTGCAAGAAAATCACATCATAGTCATATCTTGATTAATTCAGTCTTAATTCATTGAATATAATCAACACACCCGAGAAAGTGCCTTAACAAGGTAAATTTTTAAGTCCTAGTTTTTAAAGAGTTCCAGTGTGACCTGCTATTGATGGAATTTGTACTGCTCTTGACGGTAAGTAAATGTTAAATTAGGAATGTAAAGACAAGAATAAATGTGTTATGTCAAACTTTTTTATAGAAAATATGTTATGAGGTTTATATGAGGATACTGCATAGTACTGTACTGTACAGTGCTGTATTTTGAAATGTTTGTATTGTAATACAAAATTTATTTTTCTTTACAGATTGTTGTGATCACAGGAGCTAATTCAGGCATTGGCAAGGAGACGGCACGAGACTTGGCAAGTCGTGGGGCAATTGTCATACTGGCCTGTAGGAACCGGCTCGCTGCCCTGGAGGCTGTCCGGGACATACGCACCACTACAGGTGATGGTGACCTGGTCAGTAGATACTAACTTTAAAGTTGTTTTAGAAAAGTTTTTGTTTTTACTTTACTTTTATCCTCTTCACCACTGATCGGCTCGTTAGCTGCTTGGGTAGTCGGTCATGTCTCTGTTACACACTGTTGGCAAGTACTGGGCATGTACTAGCCTCTGAATGTATCTGAACCTGCTCCAGTGTTGGTCAAGTCTGGTCTTGAAACAGCTCACACTCGGTTCCGTCACAACACACACTGCCAAGTTGTTCCACGAGTTCACAACTCACTGAAAAAGTTAACCCTCACTGTTTTCTGGACTTGTGGCTTCTTCACCCTTGACCTGTGAGTCACTTTTGACCATCCAGTAAATAATACAAATGTGGTTTTCATTACAGTATTACTGTATAAATATTTTTGCATTTTGTTGATTTCTATGTATAGTTATGAGAAAAATAATTTTTCCCTGTATATCGACACTTCTTAGTGAGTTGCAGCCTTTATTCACAACATATTAATTAAAGTATAAGATTCTGATCAAAAGCTTTTCTTTCAGATGTCCAAAATTTATGGTAAAAGAAAGTTTATAAAAAATCTCCTTTCTCTTGCTTGCTTCTATCTTTCTCTCTCCTCATTTTTCTGTGTTCACCTTCAAGCTCTACATTTTTTTCTGGTAACTAAGTTTGGTTACTACCCTGTTAACCCAGACACCAGAATACAGCACACTGTCAGTATATATATATATATATATATATATATATATATATATATATATATATATATATATATATATATATATATATATATATATATATATATATATATATATATATATATATATATATATATATATATATATATATATATATATATATATATATATATATATATATATATATATATATATAGATAGATAGATAGATAGATAGATAGATAGATAGATAGATAGATAGATAGATAGATAGATAGATAGATAGATAGATAGATAGTGACCCTCGGTTAACGTAACCAACTCCGTTCCAGAAGGTCGTTCGTTAACCGAAAAGTTCGTTAACCGAAACCATTGTTTCAATGGGTTTTTGGGTAATTGGTTCCAGCTCACAGAAAATTTCCTAAATTCAACAAAAATGGTAGAAAAGTTCACTTACTTTGAGGTGTGTATGTAGAAGGCTCCTGATGATGATGATGATGATGGGAATTAGAATGGGGGTGGAGGAGAAGGAAGAAGAAAAGGCATTGGGGTGGAAGAGAAGTCACCCCATGGCACCATTTCATCCATAAAATTTTAGTTCTCTTGGTGTATTTCAAGATTATTTTCTTTAAATCAACACTGCACTGCATTATATATTGTCAATATGTAAAATATATTTCAAAATGACCAATAATTTGCTTGGAAACACAGAAAAAAAGCGTTTAGTTGAAGAGAGTCTCAAGCAAGATGTTACCTCCACTGAAAACAGAGAGAGACTAACGCCTGTCTGGTGTGTTAACAGGCTGGATGGCACGCCAGAAACTAGTTTCTTTACCTTCAATTATGTTCAATAATTGTTAAAATGACTAAAAAAGTTAATATTAAACTTTTAAAATTATTGAATAGTATAAACTTCTTGATATTTACTAAAATAGTAAGGAATTTAAGCCCTAGAACCGATTAATGTATTGGCGGACTGATACTAAAGCTGGTTGCCCGGTCAGTGCAAGCGAAAACATGTTGAGGTCGGTTCGTAAGAAATTCGTTAACCGAATTTTTTGTTCGTTAACCGAATTGAAGATCCTATGGAAGGCAGTTCGTTAATCGAAATTTCGTTAACCGAGGCGTTCGTTAAACGAGGGGTCACTGTATATATATATATATATATATATATATATATATATATATATATATATATATATATATATATATATATATATATATATATATATATATATATATATATATATATATATATATATATATATATATATATATATATATATATATATATATATATATATATATATATATATATATATATATATATATATATATATATATATATATATATATATATCGATATATTAGCTATATTCAAGACATCTTCAGAGGCAACTGAAGATGTCTTGAATAAAGACGAAAGCTAAGGTACCGTTGTTTCCATTTTCCCGTGTGATTTTATCAAGATTTATCTTATCCACGTTTTCATTGTGGATTTACATGATATATATATATATATATATATATATATATATATATCATACTTTGGATGGGATAATATTGCTTCACTGAATGAGTAAAATATTCCTTTTCTACCACAGCAGTAAAGAAGTGTATAAGATCTGTACAGTACAGTACTTATTGTTATTTGCTAAGTTTACATGTGTGACAGACTTTCACAGACTTAACATGATGTAAATAGTGTATATCACACACACTGTTACGGTCCCTCACTTTATTAACCCACCTCCTTAATTTAATTACAGATTGTTATGGATCTAGACCTCGGTGATCTGGCCTCTGTGAGAACATTCGCCTCAAAGGTCCTCGAGAAGTTCAGCAAGATTGACGTCCTGATCAACAACGCAGGAGTTTTTATTCCTCCTGAAGAAAGAAAGAAAACAAAGGATGGTTTTGAGATCCACATGGGGGTAAACCATCTTGGTCATTTTCTCCTGACACATTTGCTGCTCGACCGGATTCAGAGCACGCCCAGTTCTCGGTAAGATTTCTTCATATTGTGGGCACTAGTGTGTTGGGGTCACCTTAAGATTAGACACCCTATCTACTTTCACCCAATCCTGAGGCTACCTGGGGAGTTAGATTAGGTTAGGCTGTGTAATGTTAGGTTAGGTTGCAGTGTGTTAGGTTATGTTATGTTGTGTTATGTTAGTGTCATGGTTTTGGGATAGATCGGTGGTAGTAGGAGTGGATTATACTATATATAAAGATAATAATATGTCGTATTTCTTATTTCTTACCGTAGAGTTCGATACCTTCACACTGATTACTTACAGGAGATTATGGTGTATCTACGTAGAAGTTCACTCCACCACTCGACATTCCATGATTTATACTTGATAAATGATGATTTAATGAATTCATTTAATTTTCAACATCCATCTAAGTTATTGGTTATACTATGTCATAACCAATCAGTCATTACCTTCAGTAATAATAAGATAGGATCACAGATACGGGCAGATAATTGCACTTACATTTATTTGTCAAGCTTCCATACAATGATTTACAATTTGCATGGATATATGATTCACTCACGTTCACGCTGTAATAAAATTAATCTTCTAAAAGAGAATTTTAACTTGGGGACACATGTGATTACTCTACTATGGGTATAACTTAACAGAGCCTTAATTCTTCAAGTGATACATTTACTGCCAGCCTGGATTGCTTTTGTTGCAACCAGGCTTCCGCACAAGAACTTCTTTCCACGGGCCACAGCAACAAAAAGTACTCTTGGGTTACCACACATGGTGTCGTGCAGGAGAACTCTGTAAGCGTGACTTGAATTAACCATTTAGGTGCAATAGACCAGCCTGGATTGCTTTTGTCGCAACCAGGCTTCCACACGTGATATTTCCACGGGGATAACAACCTAGGTTAACACGCTTAGTCTCGTGTCGACCTTCCACGGCCATAACAACAAAAGGTACTCTTGGTGTACCACACATAGTCTCGCGTCACTGAGTCACGGTAGACGGTTGTCGCGGCAAGGAGAACTGGTAAGCGTGACTTGAATTAACCATTTAGGTGCAATAGACCAGCCTGGATTGCTTTTGTCGCAACCAGGCTTCCACACGTGATATTTCCACGGGGATAACAAACCTAGGTTAACACGCTTAGTCTCGTGTCGATCACGGTCACAGTAGACGGGTGTCGTGCAGGAGAACTCTGTAAGCGTGAATTAATTAACCATTTACTGTAGGTTTGATAGGCCAGCCTGGATTGCTCTTGTCGCAACCAGGCATCCACACGTGATATTTCCACGGGGATAACAACCTAGGTTAACACGCTTAGTCTCGTGTCGACGACGGTTCACAGGACGGAGTGGCGGTGGAGGACTCTGTGTGGTGTGGTGTCCCGCCCCCTTTCAGGAGGGAGAGGATGGAGACGACGTCTTAACTAACCCATGGCTCAGGGGATACTACTTAAAATGAGGTTTTTGGGTGTGAAGCGATGAACAGTACAACACTGTTCCACTGCCCACCCCCCTAAAGGCTGGCTGACATACACTAATTGAAAAATACATGTCCCAGTTATGCTTCGCCTGGCGTCTTATCTCTGGTAAAACAAACTTTGGAGTTGGTTGCGTGGGTAAGCCTAACGCAACCCATGACAGTTAGGTTTAGTTAGCATGACATTAAGGTGGTTAATCATAAAGTGAAATAAGCTGGTGTATGTAATCATTAGGTGATCTGATATTGTTTTCCTTGTACTGTACAATACTAAAACCTACATCTCAGTGCCATGATTATATGCATACTTCAGATGGCATATGCTTGCTTTGTACTTATATTGTGTCCATCAAACAATTATCTCCCAAAACTAAATACTTTCTCTTTTTTTTTTCAGAATCGTTTTAGTGTCGTCAATGTTGTACAAACGTGGCAAGATTGACTTTGACAACATGGATGCTGACAAAGGCTGGGACAAGAATGAAAGGAACCAATTATACAATAATTCAAAACTGGCTAATATATTCCATAGCCAAGAGCTTGCTAAGAGGCTGCAGGGTAAGGCATAGGTTATTTAATTCATATTACTGTATTGTACCTACTTTCCTTTACTTTATCCCCTTCACCAATAGTCTAACCAGTCTGGTGGTTTCTCTTTTACACACTGTTGGCAAGCACAGAACTGGACATGTACTGGCACCGGATTGTACCTGAACCTTTACCCGTGTTGGTCAAGTCTGGTCTTATATGAGCGCACAGTTAGTGAGAATCATAGTTTTTGTGTGTACAGGTCATCTGTATATGCTAATATCCTTGACAGGCTGTCACCTTGCATAATCCTTCAACATAACTAATACAGTATATAAATGCTCCCTAGGACCTCCCGACAGTTGTTACTGAATACCTGAAGTCCATCACCTTTGAAACCAAGTGAAGCAGTGACTGCAACCTCTGCCATGTCCTGTGTAATACAGTAGCACGCACTCACACTCACTCTTACTCTCTCTCACTCTTTCACTCACTCAATTCCTCTCAATCACTCACTCTCACTCATTTTCTCTCACTTTATCTCACTTTCTGCTTTAACATATTTCCTGATGATTAATCCCCCAGGTACTAGCATTAGGGTAATTAATCAACCGGTGAAATAATCCACGGTGCTTCATATTCACGCGATTCATATCCTCGGAGAAACCTGTTGACTGATGCAAGGTTGCACACCCCATGCCATGCACAAGGAACTAGTCAGCACTGTACCTTGTTGTCTGTATCTGAAGTTGTGGAACTGTTACTATTGAATTAAAATCCAGTTGACTAATATTTATGTGTTTTCACTTCAGATGCCTCAAGCTCGTATCTCACATTTCTAGATACAGTATTACACTATTTTTATTTTATATTTTTTTTTGTGGTTTCAGACACCTTCAAGTTCCTTCAGTTATTTCTAGACTAAATTTGTGTTTTTGTGTTACAGGCAGCAGTGTGGGTGTGTTTGTGTTGTGCCCAGGATTTGTGTACACAGGTCTCATGCGTTACAGTGCTCCCAAGTTCAACTGGATCCAGAAACTCTGCTTTGCACCCATAATGTTCCTTTTTATGAGGAACGCTCAGCAGGTGAGTTTGTGCCGAGAGTTTGGATTGCCTGAAGATTAGGCAGCCCAGCTTATTTCTCCTAATTAAAGTGGCATCCCTGCAGTGAAGGGATTAAACATTCTAACCTAACCTAATCACCCAAGGAGTACAGTATTAGGTTGCTTAATCATCAGGTGATCTGTATATTTGTAGTGTAGCTAAAATTAAATAAGGAACATAACTAAGGTTAAACTTGGTGTTCAAAAAGTCTACTTCTTAGGATTTTAACTGTCTGTTTTGTTTTGTTTTTCCAACCTTCTTTGTCGGGTAACTGTTGACACATTGACTGTACTGTACTGTAATGTAATGAGGAGTGAATGTTAGGGAGTTATACAGTACAGTATTCTTAGACATTCGGGCACTGATTAATTTCTTGTGGACGGGGTTGCCTCTGAGGTGAACCAAATAATTTATTAAAAGTGGCGTTCCCGTTGTGAAGTGGTTTACCAATGTTGTGTAATACGCAACAGGCCATGACTGTACTGCATCTTTTGAAATACTCCGTACGTCTTTGCCCATGATACACAGATGCTTTTGATGAATTATGACTGATAAACAATGAAGACAAGGAGGTAAACAGTCTGTAGATAAGGTGAGAGATGCTTTTAACCTGGGAAATGTAAGATAATTACTGGTGGCAGAAGAAGAGGAAGAGACCATTGATCTCATGAAAGATAGAAAAGTGGCTGAGGACAGTGAAGGAGGACCTGACAGTGGCTGAGGACAGTGAAGGAGGACCTGACAGTGGCTGAGGACAGTGAAGGAGGACCTGACAGTGGCTGAGAACAGTGAAGGGGGACCTGACAGTGGCTGAGGACAGTGAAGGAGGACCTGACAGTGGCTGAGGACAGTGAAGGAGGACCTGACAGCGGCTGAGGACAGTGAAGGAGGACCTGACAGCGGCTGAGGACAGTGAAGGGGAACCTGACAGTGGCTGAGGACAGTGAAGGAGGACCTGCAGTGGCTGAGGACAGTGAAGGAGGACCTGACAGTGGCTGAGGAGTGAAGGAGGACCTGACAGTGGCTGAGGACAGTGAAGGAGGACCTGACAGTGGCTGAGAACAGTGAAGGAGGACCTGACAGCGGCTGAGGACAGTGAAGGAGGACCTGACAGTGGCTGAGGACAGTGAAGGAGGACCTGACAGTGGCTGAGGACAGTGAAGGAGGACCTGACAGTGGCTGAGAACAGTGAAGGACCTGACAGTGGCTGAAGACAGTGAAGGAGGACCTGACAGTGGCTGAAGACAGTGAAGGAGGACCTGACAGTGGCTGAAGACAGTGAAGGAGGACCTGACAGAAGACAGAAGGAGGACCTGACAGTGGCTGAGAACAGTGAAGGAGGACCTAACTGGCTGAGGACAGTGAAGGAGGACCTGACAGTGGCTGAAGACAGTGAAGGAGGACCTGACAGTGGCTGAAGACAGTGAAGGAGGACCTGACAGTGGCTGAGGACAGTGAAGGAGGACCTGACAGTGGCTGAGGACAGTGAAGGAGGACCTGACAGTGGCTGAAGACAGTGAAGGAGGACCTGACAGTGGCTGAGGACAGTGAAGGAGGACCTGACAGTGGCTGAAGACAGTGAAGGAGGACCTGACAGTGGCTGAGAACAGTAAATTGAAATCAAAGCCAGAGGAAGACCAACACCAAATTTATCTATTCAACAGAGTAAGCCAAATTTGTGACATTTTCTGCTGCTGTTATGTGAAACTTGTCAGTACCCCTAATATATTATACCATAAACTGCCACTGATATATGGAACTTGGCTGAGAAGGTGGTTTAGACTTCTAAATCTGTTTTGAATTTGACAGATTTAGGTGGGAATTAGTTAAACATGGGTTTGGAAATAAAATTGTGGAATAATTGACTTTACACCATCATTAATTTAATTTAAAGAGTGATGTTTGCTGGGTGTAAACAGGACTGTCTAGTATGGGTTAATAGGCCTACTGCAGTATCCTTTATAATATTTACACGCATACACACTTACACGTGTTTGTATTTATGGACATGTACTCGTATATACAGAATGTAACTGAAGAAAAGCAGTTGATTTAGTGAGAGCATAATAATTGTATAGTAGTAAGAGTATCGTCGTGTGTGAAATATATGGAGTTGGAGGAAACTGATAAAGTAGGTGTTACTATGAGGGGACATAACTGGAGGATTGATTGATGTGTACTGTACTGTATCTGTGTACTTCATCTGATATTGTAAGAATTTTGAGTTAAAGGATGCCATATTCACTTAAAAAAATATATATACTTTTACTTAATAATGATGTAACTGATAAAATACCTACATATACAGTGTAGTTGTAACTACCGGGTATACTTAAACGATTATAAAACTTATAAATGCTGGAAAAACTCAAGAAACTTCATCCCCTGGAATTGAGACAAGTTGGTTAACCGTGTGTGGAGGCAGTGAAGATGCAGTAGGGGAGGGAGACAACACAATGGCAGACCCACATTTATATCATGAACGCTACATTAACTTGTGCTGTATATAAATGGAGTGCATGGTAAATTAATTATATGGACAATACTAAATTTTCCTTAACTTACCAAGACATGAAATTCTATATTATACAGTATTATGATATATAGTACAGTTGAATTTTATATTAAACTGTTCAATTTTTGTCACCAGGGATCCCAAACTACAATCCACTCTGCTGTGTCGGAGGAATTGGATGGTGTTGAGTGGGGTTTCTTGCGTGAGTGTAAGATTGACGGTTTAGAGGAAGTTGCCCAAGACTCGGTCACAGCAGCCAGGCTCTGGGACGTGTCAATGACTATGGTCGGGGAGAAAACTGTAGGAGTAGCTGAGGGGGAGGGGGAGTTAGTGGAGGAGCAAGGGGTAGTACTGGAGGAAGAAGGAGTGTTTGTGGAAGAGGAAGATGAGGAGGAGGAGGAGGAGGAGGAAGAAGAGTCGGCAGGAGAGGATGAAGGAGTGTTAGTTGATGAAGGAATAACACTGGAAGATGATGATGAAGAGGATGAAGGGGAGGAACCTGTTGTTGCAGAGAAAGAAGTGTCTGAAGGAGAACCATCAGAAGGTGAAGGAGAAGAAGCAGCATCATCATCAGCTGAAGAAGATGATGAAGCGCTAGTAGACATTGGGTCCCTTGATGATGATAAAAGGTTGTTGTTGCAACACCAAGACCAGAAAAATAGTAAATCAAAATAATGAGAGAATTATATAGATGTTGAAGTAGACTGATGATATAAACGTCTTCTCATATCAATAATAATAAAGTAATATGAATAATATATACAAATAATTATAGGGAATATTTAAATCTAGTATTAGTTTTTAGGCAAATTTTCTTCAAATATACACTAATTCTTTTCTCTGGTGCGGTGGAGGATGGCTTGCTCCACCCTATTGGTAGGATGATATATCAATATAATGGTGAATTTCTTGTTTCAGTCTATGCAATGAATAGAAGTAACTTGCTCATGTCTTGAACAACTCTGATGTGGATTTTTGAGTTGGTCATTTTTATTGGATTTGTGTTGGTAGAATGTCTGTTGATAATTGCTGTGGTAACTTTACAATGCATATATATATATAACCTTCACAGCTTTATCACATGTTCATATGGCTGTTGGTGCATGAGCCTAAGTCCCCAAGAATGACTGAAAGTTTCTTCTGATAACTTGTGTATAATTTGGAAGTCGTTTGCCACAAGTAATTACTCTTCCATGGCAAATGTCTTTAACAAATCCCTAATTTCGTTAATATTGCGGCCTCTGAATATACTGTATGATAAATCATTCAAGCAGTTCTCCATGCTGTTATATGTTTGCGTGCTTGTCCATGCACACATACAAAGTACATATTACAGGATACTTACAACAGATGTACAGGAAACAGAAAGAGCAGATGATCTACACACACACACACATGCACACACCTGATGCTTCATCCAGAACTACACACTTCCCATGAGTAAATACTGTATGCATAGGAGTTGGATTTTGTGAAGTTTTCTTACGAGATTAATGTGAATGGTCATCATGAACCTCTCGACTATAGGTATTATTAGTGCAGTATTGACATGTTTACCATGCAAATTTTTCCGTCCTGGTAAAATTCAACTATAAATGAGGCAGATTTGGTCATATTTTTAGATATTTGTTGCATTTGTATTGTTAAAATTGTATAAGTATTGACAATTCTGTATATATTTAGGTTGCCTAAAACTGCAAAATAAAAGTTGTGTTACCTATATTTTTTTTATTTTCCTACCAGTTTGGATTTTCTACACATAAGAGATTTGAATAAGTTTTTGGCTACTACAGTATTACCCCGCCTAACGCGGTTTCACTTAACGCGTTTTATCATATACGCGGTGCCTCGCCAGAGCTGAACTTTCACTTAACGCGGAATTTTTCATCATATACGCGGGAAGCGGTGTGGGCACGATGCGCACAAGGTCGCCCAGTCATCAAAACATTACCGAGTTCTTCACCCGCCACCCACCACAGCCGGCCCAAGTCAGTGATAGTGATAATTATAGTGAGGATATGGACTTATATGGCCTTTGAGGGGTTTGACAAATAGGCCCTGCAAGCCTCTGTGGTGGATAGTGATACAATTGATACAAGTGATACAGGTGAGGGCCAATAATCTGCCCTCTGCCTCGGAACCAACCCCCATCCCTGTGTGCCCAGCCATCTTTTCTACTAATGCAAGTGTTAAAAAACCTAATATTATTGATATTTCTCTTAATTATTAATTGTGTGTGCATACCATCATAAAGTTAAGATAAAATTTTTACTACAACATAGTTGTGTGTCGTCAAAAAGTGGAGTTTGGGGGTCGGGCCAGTCTCTATTGGAATTAATCCCATATGTTCTGTTGTTCACTTAACGCGGTTTTCACTTAACGCGGTACCCTGTGGGTTCAATTGACCGCGTTAAGCGGGGTACTACTGTATATGTTGTAGAACAATATTTGAGAAGCACCAGAACCTAAATTTCTAGTTGGGGCCAGAACCAAGTGTTGATGCACCCTGAGCAATCATAATGCAGTATTATAAATATGAAGAGTGTGTACAGTATGCTGCTTGCTGCATGACATACACTTGTAACCTTATGGGCAAGAGCATTATGTTGAATATAGTTTAAATAACCTTGGCAACTGCAGCACCAAAGAAAAAAAAATCCAAATGTTTGGTCATTTAAAACCTACACACACACACACACATGTAGTGGTAGTATAGTTGAGGTCCTTGTGCACTGCAGAAGAGTCAATGAGACTTAAAATTTGATAAATACAGTACAGTGTAGGAGTTCGTGGTATAATGTTGTCTAGCACTCAGGATGGATGGAAACTCTAAGGTGGTTTTCTTGTATAATATAAGTTATATGATAGGCAGTCTGGTGCTGGAGGTGCCGTGTGGTGAGGAGCTGCTCAGTAGAGACGTTCAGTGAGTAGCGTGTTGAAGGAGGTAGATGTGCAGGAGCTTCGTTAGAGAAGATGTTGCCTGTTGCTGGCCTCATGGTTGAATGAATGCTGACAGCGTGGAGCTTGCTGGAGGAGGTGTTGCTTGTTCAAGAAGAGAGACCAGAATGAGAGAGCTGGTTGGTGAGGACGCTCAGAGAAGGACAGCTGGTGGGTCGCCATGCTCGCTGGCGGGAGCGAGGACCGCCAGGCAGGCGAGGAGAAGCGAAGGCCGCCAGGCAGCAGCGGAGGAGGAGGTGTTGCTTGTTGTAGAAGAGAGGCTAGAATGAATCTCAATGGAGAGACAGAGCTTATATACCCAGCAGCCGCGAGTCCTCTATGAGTCATGTTGGGAAAACCCGAGAAAGTCGCCGGTCTCTAGTTTCGTTGCTAGGTTACCGTACCATCTGGTGTCGCCGCTCGCTTGGTTGCTAAGGAAGGCATCGCAGGTGGGATGCAGCTACGTAGTTTGTAGGGGAGACGTCCACTACAACAGTACAAAATTTAAACATGAGACTGTAACAAGGTCAGGCACACCTAGGATTATTACTGGGAACACTCGATAAGGTTTTGACTGAAGGTATAATGTCACATTTATTTGTTTTTATATACAGTATATTGCTAGTGCACTTGTTCTTATATAGAAACCCAACACACATCTGTAGTCAGTTTGTATATGAGGTGATACATAGCCCAGCTGCATGTTGAGATATGTGATACATTTGGAGTTAGAGTTCATTTACTCCTTCCAGTTATTCTTATTCAAGACTTCAACAAAGATCTGGCAACATAATTATTAACTCAAGTGTTCTGCTGTTTACTTTGTGTGGATAGTTAAGTGAGGTTCAATGACTGCTCCATCCTTGTTAGTTACTGTAGTCGTTCAGTGATACGGTGTTGTTGTTCTTCTTGGTATTGTTGGGCTGCTCCAGTTTGTGCAAGTAGAGGTCTAGGTCAGGGTCTTGGTCAGGTTGAGGATAAGTGAGAAACGGACAATTATTTTCCATCACTTTTATTAAGAAATAACCATTAGAATGTTTATTATCACTGTAAGAGTAACAAAGTATTCATATAAAAGTAGACAGCTATAGACAGTAAGATAACCACAAGTACATAAACGTAATTTACAGAAAGAAACTACAGTAGGCTCACCAACATGGTGTCAGAAAATGGCATGGGCAGCACAGAAGTGGTCAAGAGGGGTGAGCGCTTGACCTGTGGGTGACGAGACAGAGTGGCACATCAGGATTGTAGCACCACCTTTGGCACATATTTAGTCAATTTTGACAAAAAGCTTTGGAATGGCTTTATTATAGGTTTTAATATGATAGAAAATAAGTACAAGTCACTGTGATGCTGTACCAACATACTAATCAGTGTTCCTGTGCATGATAAATTTTTCTCCATCAGTATACAGTACTGTACTGTATGACTGAGTCACTGTCAGTCCTGTGTGGAGCTGCTGGCACAGCTAAAAGTAAGATAAATAAAATCTGATACCAGATGATGGCAATATTAAGGCTGCAATTTACACAACATGTCTTTTCAATTCAAATGAAGATCCACTAAATGTGTTGTGAGTCTGCCCATGAGAGGTGAGGCTGGTTGGGATACTGTTTAGGAATCAATAGTAGATATAACAACAACTTTCTTCATTGTTTCCATCACAGTTAAGTATTAAAACATAAAATAATCAAATACTTGTAATAAGAATATAAGATGCACAACACAGTTTTCCTCAGTACTGTAGTTAATACATGTACAAGGTAAGAGTAGGAGGAGTCATTGCACTGATATGTTTTATTTACCTTCCTGTACATTGTAAGAACATAAGAATGTACTAATTTTTTTACAAGAATATGAAGTGATATGTAGAGTAGGTATGGATGGTGTGTCTGCCAGGGGAGCAGACAATATTCACGTATGGAAGAAGCAGCATCACGCGTGCTAGACATTACAGTATTACGTACAAGTTCATTAGAAAACAATTACCCTGCACCTGCCTCCAGCCATATTTAATCATACTTCATGAAGTAACAAACACACACACACACACACACACCTCAGCTCACATGATCTACGTGTGTAAACATTAATCTGTATGTTCACTGTATGTTCCTTTACTTTTCTCTAATGAAGGCTTTTGTTAAACCACCAATGTATGTAATAAGTCATTTATGTCCAATGTATATTTTCAGCCTTGGGCTGCAAACTTTTTCAATAAACCGTTTATTATTATTATTATTATTATAGTTAAAACGTCAATACTTTACTAATCATTTCACATGGATATGTACCCCCTGTATTTGAAAAAAAAAAAAAGGAATTGATTCCGAAAGCTACTCAGTACAGGGCCAGGGTGTGTTGACCTTGATAGTTTGCAACTATTTTTTATCTGGTTCTTGAAATGATGATGTTTATAAGGTAACATACAGTAGTATAGTTGCCTTTTGCCTCCGTAGTGGACGTCTTACCCATATCAACAGAAAATGAAATTAGAAGATCATTTGAAAAATCCAAAATTTCTTTGATTAGTGACTGTTAACCACCCTCCACCTGCCTCCCGGACCCCTGAGAGGTCAAGAGGTCAGGTTTATACATGAAATTTGGTTATGAGTTAACTCCTCATTCATACTAGTGTTAGAATGTCTTGTACAATAAACTCTGCCTAATTGGTTTTATAAAATCTAGTATTATTTTATTCGACTTGGAAGTCTTCACACTTAATCGTTCCTTTTGTGTACACACTAAACACTTGTTCCCTCAGTGTTCACACTTCTCACCTGTTCCTTTTTGTGTTCACACTTAACACTTGTTCCTGTTTTCTTTACACTTATTCCTTCAAACACATGTTTCTATTTGTCTTCACACTTAACACCTGTGCCCTCTCAGTTCACACTTAACATTTGTGCCTTCTGTAACAAATGTTCCTTCTTCACACTTTTTAACACCTGTGCTAACTATAACACACATTCTTCTTGTCATCACATTTAACACTCATTCCTTCTCTTCAGTTGACACACTTAACTTATGCTTCTACTCATCATATGTACTATACTGTACTGCCAGAAAGTGACCGCTGGGGTCCTCTTGTGTGGCGATTAGTGGACAGTCACATTTGGGGAACCAGGACCAAAGTACAATACAGTATTCCTCAGTAGTGTGTCTTACTTAGCCTCTATATACAGAACCTTTATCACTATGGTGGGTTAAAATTCTCTTATTATCTAAAAAAAAAAAAAATCCTAGCTTATGAAAGAACATTTAGCCTCTTTACCATCTGCTGGTTCACTCAACACCACGATAAGGGAAAAGTTGTCTCAACATATATTTGTCGTGTACACTTTATCTGCACAGTTAGCTCCAGCAACCACTTTTTTTTTTTAGTTTCAGAATTTTATTTATTTGTCCGTTATATCTCAAACAAGTTTTCACTCATATTTTTATTTTATTTATCAGCTCATTAGCCATTCAGTGTTTGTTGCTTTATGACGTAGTTCCATTAGGTATTAGCACATTAAGGTCAGGCAGCCAATCAACAAGATTATAATGTACTGTATCTTGATGTTGAGGTTATAATGCATTACTGTGCTTCATCAGCTCAGGTCTCTAAGTGTGTGTTCTACATTAAGAATTAAGTATCTGTGTTAGTTTATCTAATAGTACTGTATATGACCAAAGTAATGTTAGTTTCATTGTATTTTGGGGAAGTTGAGTTCCTGGGAACATAAAGTGGGAAGGTGTTATTTTCTTGTGTTTTGTGAAATAAAGTACATACAATACATGATGGATGATGAAAGTTAGCAGATAGAGAGACACATTTACTTCATAGATAGATAGATGGATAGTTAGATAGACAGATACAGTTGATACATAGACACAAATATAGACAGATAGATACATAGTCACAGATATATAATGGGGTAGATAGATACAGTACAGTACCAACATAGTGAGATTGATAAATAGATAAGATACATATACTGTAGATAGATAGAGATGGGCGAGTGGAAATGTAATACAAAGCAATACAGTAGTTGTATATGGTGTATCTGTGTAGGAGGAAGGATTCTGGGCCACCAATTTATCATCTACATAAATGATTACATTCTCAGTATGTGTGTTGAATTAAGTTGGGCTAGGTTAGGTTGGGTTAGGTTAGGTTAGGGTAAGATGGGAAATGGAATGTTTTAACTCATTATCACTAACTACATGTTGGCGGTGTCCTCAACAAACACTGACGTTAATGGGCTTTATAACGTATTTAGCTTTTCTATATGTCGAAGAGTTAAGTGAAATAATTGTTACCGTATATGACATTGAGAATTATCAGGAAGTGTTCATTTTTTCACTTCAGGGGTAATATCTTGAAATGAGTACTGTAAGGTCTTCAACACTTTGCTTGTAAGATATTGCACAGATTATAGGTAAGATCTTTTATAAAAATAGATGCAAGATTTAACACAGAGTATAAGTGACATTTACCACACAGCAGAGTCAGGCCTTGATCACAGCACGTGCGAGATTTTTCATTACCCAAATAAGCAAGATCTAACACATGACTTAAACTAATTACTCAGCACAACAAAGAAATCTACAACAAAGTACTGATAAAAGTTCGTAACAAGTAACCATAACAAGTACATAATTACAATAAATCCTAATCTTAATTAATTCACTTAAAAAAAATCCGTTTTGTTTCCTAGAATTGGTAAACGACAATATTCGAGGACTGTTTCTGTCTTTCTGAATACGGTCGTTTTATTTCCAATGGCACAGAGAATCACATATTCAAGTTCACTGACATTTGAAGTCATGGGACGGAGGAAAAGACCGTAAGCTAGAGGGAGACGTAGCTGGTCCCCTTTTCTCTACTTACGGTACACCTGGATATAAGTCACCCGAGCCTTCTAAATGGTGCTCTCTCTCTCTCTTTCTCTCTCTCTCTCGTACTTTACAGGCAAATCTCAGTCCAGTAACCTGTACAGTATTTACTAATGGTGACAACAGGATAATCACAGGTCAACCATCAAGATGAAACGAGAGGTATGGTGTCCGTCATGTATTTTCCTGTAGGGGGGGAGAGGGGTATTCTTCCTACCCCACCTGTAGAGCACTCAGGGTAAGAACAAGTCATTTTTGTGTAAGGGTTCAACAGGTGTTACGAACATCTCACTGTTAACATGGTTCTGATGGCAAGTTCTATATAAGACTCAAGTTCCATATTATTTTCAGTTTTAATTCCACAGTTAGTCAAGTTGTTGATAAGGTTCAGTTAACTTCTTAATAGACTCAATTAGTTCCATAAAAAGTTCAGTTAGTTCCAAAGGGAGACTCACTTTAGTTCTACAAAAAAGTCTATAAGTTTCACATAGATGCAGTTCAGTTCACCATAAGACTTAGTTAAAGTTCACCATAAGATTCAGTTAAAGTTCACCATAAGATTCAGTTAAAGTTCACCATAAGACTCAGTTAAAGTTCACCATAAGACTCAGTTAAAGTTCACCATAAGACTCAGTTAAAGTTCACCATAAGACTCAGTTAAAGTTCACCATAAGACTCAGTTAAAGTTCATCATAAGACTGAGTTAAGTTCACTGTGAGACTGAGTGGAACATTCACATCACAATATAGTCTTTATAGCCTTTGAGAGCCTTGAGGCCCTTTTTGAGAGCTTTGACTAGGTCCATGGGCTGGATGAGGATGGAGATGTCTCGTCCAACGGCGTTCAGACGGTCAGCAATTTCCATGTGCTGTAGAGATGTGACTTATTAGTGTACTGTATGATGATGATGATGGGTGTTAATTATATGTGCAGTACATGAGAAGGATGATATTTTATTTAGGGTATAATTACACACTACTTAACCTAACCTGGGTAATCTAATCTAACCTGACCTGACCTAAAGTAAACTCATCTAACCTTCCTAATTTAACCTAACCAAACCTACTAATGTCCCTTTACATTTATTAACATGTCAATATTGTCATCTAGAAAATTAATTGTACATTATTTGATGAATTGTGTGACCCTCTGTGGACATTTTTATGAGTAACTGAAGTATTACCTCTTATGGTATGTAATGTATGCTAGGTTAGGTTAGGATAATATTAGGGCATTTAATAATCAGGTAAAATAAATTGGGGTGCCTAATCTTTATGTCTTCCTACGTTCCTTTTACACCACAGATACTGTTTACATCAAGTGATATATAAAGTATGAGAGACATGTACAATACCTTAAAGAAGAGGTTAAGTGGTCGGTGGTTGATCTCGGTTAACACCCAGGAACATAGAGACAAGGAGTCGACAGTTTGAGCCTTAGGTGGCACCCCATGCATGGCTGCCAGACCTCCAACAACAATCTGTGTTAATGAGGGCAATAGTTTATATATATATATATTTGAACATTTATGTCAGTATGTGTGTTCACATTTAATACATCTACAGGAAATCTAAACACTCTATGTCTGTATACTGTATATACAGGTATCTAAACATTTTATACTGTACGTACCTCTATATTTCAGTGTCTAATACCTATACTGTACTGTATATTTTAACTATTTATTTC